TTTTAGGGCCACGAAACTGTTCTGTATGATTCAGTAATGGTGGATACATGTCCTTAAGCATTTGTCAAAACTATATAATGTGTAGCACAAAGCATGAACCCCAAGCAAACTATGGATTTTAGTTAATATTGGATTAACATTGGTCCGTTAATTATAAACTAGAAGCCCATTGCACAAAGAGATTTGTGCAATAGGCCTTCCCTTCCCCTGGCTGCCGGTACCGGTTTTCCTCTGGCACCTGGGACCCAGGCCTTCGCTGCTCCGGCCGGAGCCTTCAGTCTTAACTCCGCCGCTTCGTGCCTACGTATGCAAATTAACTGCCATCTTTGTTGGGTTAATTTGTATACTCTCCTGATTGGCTGGTGAGTGTAGTGGAGGGACGGTCAATTTACATGTTTGTCTATTATTAGGTAAGATGGACCACACGAATGCAAGATATTAATAATAGGGAAGGTGTTTGTGTGGTGGAGAGAAGGGGAACACGGGGTTCTCTCTACTTTGCACTCATTTTTTTCTGTAAACCTGTTCTTAAAAAATGTTTATTAAGAAAACAGTACTTGATAAAGAAATCATACACATGTACACACATGCCTATACATATACATTCAACATGCTGTATAAAGTGCTCTTATTTAACAGGTAGAGAACAGCTAATATTTTTCTAAGGTGTTTTTTAGCTGTTTCTGATGTATACATAAAATATTTTATTTGATATTTGAGGGTTTTTTTTCTCCCCTGAAGCCATTTATTGAGTGTACACTATTTGGCAGATACTTTTAGGTATTTTTATGACCAATCTCATTTAGTTTGAAGTAGATACCATTCACCTCATTGCACAGGTGAGAAAGCTCTGGCTCAAAGAAGTGGAGTGGCAAAGCTGGTATAGGCATACCTCAGATATTGCAGATTCAATTCCAAACCACTGCAGTAAAGTGAGTGTCACAATAAAGTGAGTTACAATCTTTGTGCTGATGGAGGATCTTGCCTTCAGATTTTTAAAATGGCAACATCTGTGTAGAGCAATAAAGCGAAGTACAGTAAAATGAGGTATGCCTGTACTTGAATCTAGGGATGTCTGACTCCAAAGCCTGTGTGTGCTGTGCAGCTATATGGCCTTTGTAATTATATAGCAATATTTTTTGAAATAGCTAACATTTATCCTCTAACAAGTGTGAGTGTCTCTAGAGCCAAATTATTATTGAAAGGGATTGTCTAGGTTTGAATCTTGGCTCTACTGTATACTTTTGCTTTGTGATTTTAATTAGGTTATATGACCTCTTTATGCTGTAGTTTCCGTGATGTATTAGAGACAGTTGTTGAGATTGTTGTAAGGATTAAATGAGGTAATACATGAAAAGCTCTTAGAACAGTGCCTGATACAGAATATGAGTTCCATAAATGTTAGCTATCAGTAGTGGGATAAAGAGAGGAAATTGAGACCCAAGTAAATTAAGTGATTTCCTGAGTCATAATTTTCCAAGGTCACAAGAGCTATTAAATAGCAAAGTTTAGTTTTTTTATTTGAAGGTGATAATTTTATCCATTTTAAAAAAGAGATATTTTTTTATTTTATTTTTTTTTTAAATATATTTTATTGATTTTTTACAGAGAGAAAGGGAGAGAGACAGAGAGTCAGAAACATCGATCAGCCGTCTCCTGCACATCCCCCACTGGGGATGTGCCCGCAACCCAGGTACATGCCCTTGACCGGAATCGAACCTGGGACCTTTCAGTCCGCAGGCCGACGCTCTATCCACTGAGCCAAACCGGTTTCGGCAATTTTATCCATTTTAAAAAAGAGAAACTCTTTACTGGGGTGGTGGGGGCCTGCCCTCGGGGATGGGAGTGGCGGGGGGGGGGGCGTGTCAATCGGGGGAAAAAGGAGACATGTAATACTTTAAACAATAAAAAAAAAGAGAGAAACTCTTTAAAAATGTGTTGCAGTTTCTTCCCATCTGCTTACAGTCTACCCCTACCGTATATAATATAACTTTTTTTTCTCAGATTGATACAGTAGGAAAAAAGCATTGGGCTTTATTTAGGTGCTGGACCAGGCTTTATTCCTGATTAGTTGTGTGACCTTAATGTTTCTGATTGTAGTTCATTTGTAAACTGAGGGCAGGTGGAATTGGGCCAGATGATTTCCTAGTTCTTTTTACAGCACCAACAAAATATGATTCTGAGATACACTGCTTTTATCATGAATTCCTGCACTATGCTATATAACACCCTGAGGTCCCCAGAACTTCTTGATGCATGTGTAAGGTGGTTCATCTCTGTGCTAAATGACTGAGGAGTGCTGTACTTTTATATTGGCCATCCACAACCTATCTCAGCGTTTTCTTAGCATTCTTCCTGCTTTTTCTACTGTCAATCTACTTTCTTGATATGGTTGATTGATTTATTGCCTTTACCTTTTTACAGAGTAGAGCTTGTGTGGACTTTGTTTTCAGTTCTCAATTGAGCACATAGCATTCTTTTTTGGCTGCTGGATTCACAGCTAAGTATTGAGTCCTCTGGCATGGAGTAGGGTTGGGAATAGGAAATGCCAAAGACTCTAAATTGTCTAGTACGATCTTTCTGCAGAAGGTATGATTTTAGTGACAAAAGAATCTTTGAGTCAGTCTTTTACCATGGGATCAAGTTTTAGTTTCTTTGTTGTATAAAAGGACCCTGTGAATTGCAGCATGTGCATGTTCCTGCTTTACCTTAAAGTGATATGTATACATAATCTAAGTTTCATTTGTTAGTTCACTTACATAACCTTTTTGTTTTAGTCAAGCCTCACTAGCTTATTTCTGGTGGGTTTTGTAAACCAGAGTCAGGGAAGTTGATTACAGGATATGAATAGTTTTGCACGTAGGTCACAGCTGAATATCATCTATAATAATAAAAGCATAATATGCTAATTAGACCGACGTCCTTCTGGACGATTTTCCAGATGAAGCCGGGGCTGCGAGGGAAGCCAGTGCCGGCAGTTGAGGGAAGGAAGGCCTACTCTTGCACAAATTTTGTGCATTGGGCCTCTAGTTTGATTATCATCATGGGTCTTTTTTTTTTTTTTTTTTCATTTGTATTTGGGAGAGTTAGATGTCACACGTGTAACTTTCCTGGTCCGTCCAAATTAAAAAAGGGTATTTTTCTGTAAGGGAGTAACTGGTGGACTATATTAGGAAACTTACAAAAAGAAGAACAAGGGGGGTTCTTTATTTAAAAGAAATTAAAAGATACTGAAATAAAGTCAAAGCTATTTCTTTGTGAGTTTATGTATTGTGTGGTATGTACGTTACTCCTGATATCTACATAGTTAAAGCATGTGTTCTATTCTGATAGTCACTCTCTAGTTTTTTGTGTGTTTTTTTAAGTATCTGGCTTATAATATATAAGCATTTCATCAGTGCTCAGAAGAGTTAATTTTTACACTGTCTGGAATAAAATCTCCTGAAGGTGAAACAAAGGGATGATGAGGCCTCTGGGCAGAAATATACAGTGGGATCCTGGCTAGATTCATCCATGGGTAATGAAGACAGGATTTAGCGGATATTCAGGAGTCTCATATATCAGTGCATAATAGGTTGAGGGGGAAGTAGAATTTCTCAGGAGTACAGAGCCAAAAAAAAAAAAATTCCGAATTTTTGGCCTAAACATGATTAAAGGAAAAACGTTGTGCCAACATATGCTGCCTATCTCATCCTCCTATATAATAAAGAGATAATATGCAAATTGACCATCACACCCTCACAAGATGGCTGCCTATGACCAGGCCAATAGGGGGGTTAGTGAGGGACGACCAAACG